TAGATTATATGTTAAAAGAACAGCTGAGGGCTGGCTGATTAGCTCAGTTGGTTAGAGCATGGTGCTGATAACACCAAGGTCAAGGATTCCGATGCCCCCTAAGAAACAAAACAAAAACAAAATGGTGGGTGACCTAAGGAAATATTATAGCAAGTAATTTTACAACAAATACACGGAAATGCCCATTTTCAGAATATGTTGGGAAGTAAATTTTATAAAGCCAAACTTACAAGGCCTTGCCCTGAGGGTGATAATAAAGGATAATAATAATAATAATAATAATAACAGAGGACCAATAATAATAACAATAATAAGTTTAAAATGTGGATATTTTTAGAAGTAGAGGTTCAGCATGTTTTGTACTTGTTAAAATGAAGGCAATGAGGTTGTTTTCTTTAGGGTGTTAACTGCGTGTCAAGGGCCCTAGGACAGAAAGGATCGATCAATTGGCTTTTGGAATAAAGCATTTCTCTGAATCATCCTTGGTTAATACTTGCAAGTATTATGAACTATTTGGATGAAAGATGTCACACATACCACACAGATACAACTCAGAATGAATAATAACATACATATATACTTCTTTTTGTTATAAACTGGTATTACTTTTGAGTTATTACTGAAATCAAGGCTCAGCTGATAATCAAATAATTAGTACTGGATCCACTATTAAAGATCCAGTGATCCTAAGGTATTTGGCTGTTTTAATTGCACCTTTAAAAAAGAAAAAAATAAAATAAAAGAGAATAACCATCTTACAACTTTTGCTAAAAATAATACATGTTCATTATGAAACAATTAAGCATGGATAAGGTGATGGCCCTGAGGATGATGTGGTCTCCTTCACTTATTTCTGCTCTGTGTAAGCCTTCCTGAATTTAGATACAACCCTTGAACAGAGAGATGCAGGGAGACTCCTAGCTGACTAAGGGTCCTACAATGGAACTTCAGTTCATTTTTAGAAAATAAAGTGATGTTTCTGGCACACGAGTTATGGGCTGAGACTTGTGACATTTACAGGTATTAATATATATCCTGGGTGCCCCTTGTCTTTTTTGGTCCCCTTGAGCACAAAATAACATTTCATAATTGATGATTTTTGTTTTTTCTTCTACAGGCCAAAACCCAACCCCCAAAACAAAAACACAGAAAAACAAAAGAGGTGGGGCTAGCTCTCTGCAGGTTGCTATGGAGTTTTCTCGCTGGAATCCCAGCTCCTGCTGCAGGAGAGCCAGGCTCTGCCACATTCCCTGTGGAGGTAAGCCCGCAGGGATTTCAGAGGGGTTTGCTGTCACTTTGAAATGGTGTGAGGTTTCCTGCTTTGTCAGAATCCCTGCTGAGGGGGAAATTGAAGGTGTATTGTGGAAACCTCTGTTGGAGGCTCCTGCACGGTCACAGGAAATAGCAAGTTTTCAGGAACTCCTGGTTACTGTAAGGAAATTTGCTTTGGATTTTTATTTTCAAATTTTCTATGGAATTCCCCAGTTCTGAATCAGGTGTCTGTTTTGGACTCTGCTCTGCATACAGTTTCCTCTGATGATATTTTTCCTCATTAATTTGAAATTTGCCAGCTGCAAATTTTATCAGTGAAAACTGAATTCTAATTTTGGATATAGATGTAGAAAATGTGGCCTTATATTATGGCCTTAGATTATGATGACATATAAAACACCTACAAGTATGAATTGGAATCTTTATGAGCAAATTTTAGAAACAAAGTAGTAAATCTGTCTCTAGTAGTAGGTCAACCAAGCAGAAAATAAGAGCACATGCTGTTGTTTGTAGAGCAGTATCCTGTCACAACAATTTTGGAACAACATTTGGTTCACATTCTGTCACACATTCTTAAGAGTAGTTGCGCAATTGCCTCCAAGCTGTTGGCTGTACTAGACAAACCTCAAGTTAGTGTCCTTTACTGGTGAAAAGAGTCAATTTTTATGTGGTGGTGGTGGGGGGGGGGTAATAGTTATCCTATCCAAACTTTTGTTTTTATCTTTTGAAACTTTTGAAGAATTGAACTTAAAAAAATATGAGTTTCTCTCTCTTTGAATAGAAAGGGGCTTACCTTCACCTACAGCACAAGTGGAGGTTTAGAGCACAGACTCTGGAGCTAGGCCACCTGGCACTGCTTCCTGCTCTGCCACTTGCTGATTGTGTGACCTTGGGCAAGTTACCTAACCTCTCTGTGCATCATTTTCTACCCTGTAAAATGAGGATAATAGAGCTGTTATAAGGACTTAATGAGTTATAATTTAAAAAGTGTGAAGCATGTGCTGAGTACTTTATTAGGACTTGTTAAAAAAGAAACAATGAAATGATTTTTCTAATGATATGAAATCAGAAAACTGAGGTGTTTGCTTCTGTAAGGAACCAGGGTAGATCTAGTATAGGGCTTCAGTGATATAAACAGGCTATTATGAATTTATTCAGTTGTCTGCTACTCAACAGAATCTGGAGCCATGCCACTAAATATGAGTCATCCTACGTGTGGATCCACACCTGTAGGAGGGGTGGTTCCTTGTGAGAGACACAGCCTCAGTAAATCACTGGGACTTGCTGCTGTCAAACATTTTTTATGCAAGTGAGACAAAATGCACTTCTTTATTTCACCTTCCCTCCTGCTTAATAATTCTTTTTGAAACAATTCAGAACGAATGACCAGTACCACCTTGGACCAAAAGGGTCTAAATCTTAAGAAATCAATGAAAAGAGAGGATCCATCCCCTTAGAAACCATCCCCTTATCACCATTAATAAAATGCAGAGAAACTTTTTTTTTTAGAACTTTGTTCGGGAACCAAAAATTAAGTTTATTTTGAACTCTTGCTTTACGCTTCAGGTATATGGATTTCTGCTAATCATATCACATTGTAGTGTAAAGATTTCAAGAGAAGACACTTCAATAGACATTGTTAGTTTTGTAAATACTGATATTATTTTTTGTGTTTTTCCGTATCATCTACTGAAACTAATTAAATAGCCCTGAATTAAAGAGAATAAAAGCCCTTTAATTTTGCTGATATGTAAAGCTTTTGATGAGAGGTAGTAGAGCCTGGTGTTCGGGGACTAGGCTCTGAGCTAGATGGATGTGGATTTGAATCCTGGCCCTCCCACATATTAGCTATACTGTCTTGGCAGGTTGTAAAGCCTCGGCGTGTATACAGGCCTCAGATTTCATGTAGCCTTATAGGGCTTTGAGAAGTAAATGTGTGCATATTTATAGAATGTTTAGTACCCTGCCTGGCATAGAGTAATTGCTCAATAGATGATGATAGTAATTACTGTGAATCTGTCTTCACGAGAACAGTCACTTCATCCCTCCCAAATTACCTAGGACTTGGTTCCTTTCTTTTTTCCTACCATGCCTTTTTATTTAGAAAGCCTCAACATGATTGATAAATTTAAATGTGGGATTAAATATCCCACCTAGTTCAAGTGTTCATGTCTGCACTTGAAACTAAAACTTGATAACTCGAGGCATGAATACTATGTAATTTGAATCTAGGCCAAATCTTAACGCCTTAAACTCAGAGACATTGTATATGAGCTGAGGCTAACTCCACCTAGACTGCTTGTTCCTTCAGGGTGTTATGCCTATTTGTATCCTCAATGCCTAGCTCAAGTCTCTCACATAGTTTGTGCTCAACAAACATTGGTAAGGAATGAATGGTTCATTGAGGAGGTTTTTGCAATAATTCAGGTGATCAATGATGTTTGATTTTTGTGAATGAATTTCCAGTTGGGTGGATTCTCTATGTATAGGTACAAGAGAAAGAGGATGAGAAATATTTCTTGTTCTCTCTAAGTAGGGAACTATAATTTTCCAAATAATAATATGTCATAATGTAAGACGCCTCCTCATTCCACTCTCCAACATATAAAAGGCCTGGGACCATAGCACTTTAGAACTGGACGAGATCTCGTAGGCCAAGCCCCTCATTTTAGAGGAGAAAACTGAGAGTTGAAGAATTTAAGCCATTTGTGTGAGGTCCCACAGTCTATTGGCAGAGTCAGTACTGGAAGTCTGGTCTCTGAAACCCCAGTCAGTCCACGGTCATTGCACCTGCCTGTTTGTAAGACAGTTACCTAAGTACCTCTTAATAGAAAAACGGGGTGTAAACAGGACTATCAAAGTGGTGTTCCAATTACTGCATTCGACTTTTGCAGCGTTCAGCTATCAGGCACAGGTACTCAGGAGGCTGCACAGCCAACACCTTCATTTATATCGTGCCAACCTCAGGGTAAAGCCGTTAATGCTGGCCTCACTCCTTTACTTGCATTAATTTATTTAGCAAGGCGGGGATACGGCTGGGTAATGCACTCTCAGCTGTCAGATAGGAAGAGGCGAGACTTCGGGCGCCCACCATCAGAGCGTATCTAGTGATCACAAGCAGGATTAGAGGTTGAGAAAAAACCAACAGGGACAGAATGAATTGTGTGAGTAGGAGCTGTGCTGGGGAGTGGGCAAGAGGGTGTGATCAGATTAACTGAAGTTTCAGAATTTTTATAGTAAGACACAGGAACCTACCTAATAAAAACCCAATTCCTCTAGTGAGCCCTGGGAAGTGTGAAGGACCTCGTTTTAGGAAGCGAGGCCCTGCAGCTCGTGCCGCGTTCCCCCGCGCCTTGCCCAGGACAGGGGCCCCACCCACCACCCCAACCTGGGCGCGCAGAGCCCGGCCGCGCCCCGAGGAGCTCTTCTCTCCCTGCCTCCTGGGCCCAAAGGAAACGCAGGCTTGAGGCTCATCCATCAGCCGGGGAGGCAAAGGGGGAGGAGAGAGAAGGCTGGAGGCGGGAGGCAGGAGGAGGAGTTTCTGGGCGGCCGGGAGCCCCCGGTGGGGACGACGGCGGAGCGCGCCCTTCCCCCCGCGCGCTGATTGCTGTGGCGTCCTGCCCGTCCCCGCCCGCGTGTGCGAGGGAGAGCAGTGCGCTGGGTCGGCCCGATGGGGGTAATCGAGGGTTTCGGGGACGCCGAGCGGCACTTTCCCCTTCCCAGTGAGTGAGGGAGGGAAGTCAGCGGCTCTCTCGCCGGGCCACTTTCCCTGCGCGATTCCCGGAGCTCCCTGCAGGAGGTGAAAGTCCCCGGCGGGTCCGATGGCGTAGTTGCGCCGCGGCGCAGCAGCTGCTGGAGCTCGCGGCCGCTGAGCGCTGGGCGGGGAAACTTGCCTCTGCTTTCCTCCGAATCGCTGCGGGTGGATCTCCGCTTGACACACCGCCGCCGAGGTACGTGCCGGCCCG